CGGGAACAGCACCTGCGTGAACAACAAGCTGGATTTCGCCCGGGTCGCAATTGCGTCGATTACATCTTTACGATCCGGCAGATACTTGAACATCGCCATAAGTTTAGTCAACCAAATATAGTTATATTCTCGGACATTCGAGCCGCGTTTGACTCTGTTGACAGAGTGGCTCTTTGGCACTGCTTACTGAAGAGGGGAGTACCTAAGAAGTACATCAGCATTCTCCGTGCCATTTACCATCAAACTTCGGGCCGCGTGCGAGTATACGGAGACATTTCGCCCCCTTCCAGTATCATTAGCGGTGTTAGACAGAGTTGCCCAGTCTCTCCATTCTTGTTCAACTTCGCCATGGACGAGATTCTGGATAGTGCCCCAGATAACTGAGCCCTGCGGTGTTGAACTGCTCCCTGGTGACCGCCTTCGGGACTTAGAGTACGCAGATGACATCGTTGTGATTTGCTAGTCCTACCAAGCCGCCCAGCATGTGCTGCTTAGACTGGAGATGTCCACCTCCCAATTGGGTTGACATTTGCCCCATCCAGATGTAAGGTTCTGTTACAGGATTGCCCAAGTGCATGTCCTTCTCTCAACCTTTCGAGGCATCCGCTGGAAGTGGTCGACAAATTCATTTACCTTGGGAGTTGTTTTAGTATCGGCGGTTTGACAGATGAGATCTCCTTGCGTGTCTCCAAGGCTAGAGTTGCTTTCGTTAACCTTCGTCACCTGTGACATCATCGTGACAGCCTCGCTCTCGAGGGTCGAGTCTACTATGCTACCGTACTAGCGATTCTGCTGTACGGCTGTGAGACTTGGCCCGTTCACAAAAGTGATGTTCAGCGGCTATCTGTCTTCGATCACCGCTGCCTGCGAAGCATTGTTGCTGTTTGATGGCAGCATCACATCACTAAGGCGGAAGTCCGTCGGCGAGTCTTCAGATCTAACAAACTTCGCCAACCGCTTGATAGCATCATTTCACTGCGGAGGCTTCGTTGGCTTGGGCATGTGCTCTGCATGCCTACGCAGCGGCTACCACGACTAGCTCTATTTGCGAGCATAGGCGTGGGGTGGAAGCGACCGAAAGGAAACCAATGTAAAACTTGGATCCAATGCGTTAAGGCGCAAAAGTTGAAGATGGCTGTTTTTGGGCGTTCCCGACTCCCGGGTTGGAGACCAAAGGAACCCGAGCACATCAGGTTGCTAGAGGATATGAGCAAGGATCGTACGTAGTGGCCCACTTGCTGTGAGACTATTCTACCCTAACAGTTGTTTTCTCTATCAATCTATATTTTTCCTCTTATGTGTTGTGGCAGTCAGACAATTGTATCGTAATTGGTAAAGTGCTGAATATATATATATATATATATATATATATATATATATTCGGATGGAATTCGGAGCTAGTAGAAGACGAATTCAGTTCAGTCGGAATTGCATATCAAGGGGCAGGTCATAACGCTATCACAGCGGACACTGGAAGAAGAGTTTTGAGGAGAGACAGATAAAAAGGCACTGATGACTGTGTCATGTGGAAACGACACTCCGGTTGCCCAATCCGCAAAAGTGTGTGTTAATCCGTTTCCCACCCAGAGCTTCCGTTCAATAATCTGGTCCACAGAATATTAGGATAAACAGATAGATAAACTAGTTTGCAGAGTAGTATGGGGCAGGTCCACAGTTCGGGAATGTTACTGCAGTGCCGAGCGGTGACTCCACTAAAACAGACCACACGGGGCTTTAAAATAACCGTGACAAATTGAGCATGCTCCTCCGACAGTAGCAGATGATAAAGCCGCAGCCACGATATGCCCCAGGCGATCATTAGCGGATTTACGTCTTTTCGACCAGGAACATCTTGGTTGGAGGCAGGCGATAACAAACCACTAAACAAGGGCGAAGAATTCACACCAGGAAGAATAAAACACTGCACTCGTACTCTGCGCTAATCGAGCTGATTTTATGGCATAACTATTGTCTCTAGCGGCTTAAGTTGAGGGAAGGGGGTCATTGATCTTTAGCAACATCCGATTAAGAGGATGGAAAAAGTGGGTTTCTTTGGACTTTGATCAGCAGTTATTCTTTCTCCAACCCCGATCTCCTACATATGTGAAATATGATATTCATCATCTTAATTTTTTAAGTTATTGTATTCCATAATATTTGATATCTTGTCTGTAGTACGGCACATTAGCTGAGGCGTATTTCTCACCCTCAGGTATCGTGTATGTATGATGGTCAGCTATTCTGGTATGAGCGGCTCTAAAAGCACTTGGAAAACCGCATCCGAATAGCCTAATGAACCGCACAAATGTGCAAATTTTCGTTCACCTCAAGATCCAGTCACAGTGCGATGAGCTAGTTGGATCACGATGTTCGAATGCTAATCGACTGTTTAGCTCAACAGCTGTGACAACTATACTCATCAGGTTTCTGTGCTGACATCACGATCGACTATGATATCAGATCGAAGCAGCTGGATAGCTACGAAAACCTTCAAAAACGACGACAAGTTAAGAAGTCAAGGAGACCCTCACTGATGTACAACACTTACTAGTCAAGCTGTATAACCCGAAATTGATAACAATGTGAAAAAATTGGCGACCAGCTAGTCGAAAAAGCAAGGTGGAACATGATTGTAGGGGTTATTTTGTAGCACCCGAGGTGTGGTCGCATTGTGACGCGCAATCTCAAAGCGGACCGCGATTCGCCTTGAAGCAAACCTTGGTCAATTCGACCGTTGGGACCATAGCTGAAGCAAATGGAAGCAGGTGGAATATGATTAAGGTCCAAACACATTGATTGGGCTTGGCGACTGAAGGCGAGCGTACGAGCGGAGCGTTAATTTAATTATGAATAGTCAATGCTTGCAAAAGGGAACACTGAAGAGGTGCCTTCAGACTGGCGACGGTCAACTGTCGTACCCATAATCAAGAAGGGTCAGCGTAGTTTGTACGAAAATTATCGAGGTATCAGCCTTGTTTTCACTGCTACCAAACTTCTCACGGGTAGCACTCTCCGACGAGTTACTAGTCCCCGTGAGAACCGAATCACTGAAAGCCAGGCTAGCTTCCACCCTGGTCGTGGTTGTCTCCGCTACATATTTACTCTTCGCCAAGTTTTAGAGAAGAAACACATAGACGAAGGACTACAGTGGTTCTCCTTGACTTGAAAGTCGCCTTCAACTTTGTTGACCACGCCAGGTTGTTGCACTGTCTATTCATGAAGGGCGTGCCGACAAAATTCCTTTCCATTATGCAGTCTCTTTACCGTAACTCCCAAGGCCGTGTAAGGGTCTATGGGAAACTGTCTCCTGGGCTCCCCACGACAAGTGGGGTTCGCCAGGGTTCACCTACATCTTTCTTCCGCAACCGTGTTATCAAAATTATCAGAAGTTCCTTCAGGCTCAACCGGAGTGGAAGTTCCACCAGGTGACTGACTGACAAACCTGGAATATGTGGACGACATAGCTCCCCCTGGGTGTGACGTAGTAGCTATGCAATGCTGGATAGACTGACGCGTAGCACCACACGCTTCAGCATGTGCTTTTCACCTTCAAAGTGCAAAGCAAGGCTGCAGGACTGAATCGACTCACCGGTACAAGCTATCACCGAGCAGCCACTGGAAGTGGTGGATCGGTTTAGTTAACTTTGTAGTTGTCACCTCTTGTGAGCAAAGCACTGAGGAAGATACTTCGCGTATTAGCAAGGCCTGTGTCGCTTTCCAGAAAAAAAGCCATCTATGGGGACCGAACGGTGTATAATGCTGCGGTAAGGCCGGTCTTGCTGTATGGCTCAGAGACCTGGCCAGTTCGCGGCGAAGGCATTAAACGTTTGACCGTGTTTGACCACCGGTGCTTGCGGTGTATCGTTTACGTCTGGTGGGAACACCGGTTGAGCAATGCTGAGGTCCGCTAGTTGATTTTTAGTAAAAAGCCTTCTGATTCCTCACTCAAGTATTTGCTGAATCTTAATCGCTTGCGCTGGTTAGGCCATGCCCTTCGTAAGCTCGTTGACCGGCTTCCCCGGCATGCATTATACGCCGTGGCTGCACTACGTTGGGCGAAACCGCGAGATGGTCAGTCCATGACGTGGCATAGAAGCATGAAGAAACTGACTGAGAGACTTGGTCAGACTGGTGCGTGCAGTCTTAGTGGATGGGGGCCTCGGGGTGGTCCACACCAATGATTGGACACGGTAGCAGACATGGCGCAGCCACGCAATCAGTGCAGTTCATGCAGTCTGTTTTTTTGCAGCAGGTGGTTAATTTTCATTTCCTCCTAATTCATTTAATGCACTTTCTCCTTGCCTCCATTTTCTTTACATTCCATTTGTATTCAACCCCACTAACTTGATGTTGTTGTCTATTGTCATTCGTCTTATTCTTGCGATGTGAGTCGTGGCAACTGGGTCCACGGGATCTCGGTACTCGGAGCATAGTTGTTCGACTGTAATCGCAAACACGTCAACAGATACGTAACAACAAAATATTCCGCGTTTCGAAGGAAAAAACATCATATTGAAACTGTTTGCTCATAGCACGACCATGACCAGTATTGTCTTGGTGATGACTGACCAGGTAGGGCTAGCATGGCGAACGACCAGATGATCATAATCAAGCAATTTTGACCGATTGTTAAAGAGGGACAAACATCATGTTGACCATAAGGCTAAACCGATATGGAGGGCAAAAGCACTTAGGCGCTGGGCAAGGTTGCTGATACTAATCCTGGTCAGACCACGCTAAAAATTGTGGCAAAATATAAATGTCACAGCAAGGTCAAACGAGGAAAGCTCCGGAGGACTATATATTCACCATTTAGAACTGTTGGGATTTGGATCCAACTGAGAAGCATAGCAGTCTCAGAATACCGTGGGGACGCACAAAAATGTATCAGAAAGTAGCACGGTTTCGTTTGTCTTCATTTTGTTAAATTGTTCTAAGTTTCACATTATTAAAAAGCGTGTAAGCGAGAAAAGCTGAGATCAAAAGCAGGAAAGACTAACCTTTGCGGAAGTATCGCACGAGCCCGATACGAAAGTACGATTATCAGGTGAAAGACTAACGCTCATCACATCTCCCGTGTGCCCTGTGAAGATAGAGGTCCTGTGAGTGGTCGAAATATCCCAGAGAGCGCTGAAAACACAAAGGACAAGTGGAATTGTGTAAGTAGTTAGGACACAAATATTAACTAGTGCGCCTGAGAAAACGGACTACTTTAAAACGTGATGACGCATACCACTGCATCTCCTAATCGAATTGGTGGGGATTTCAACTCGCTAAACATCTCATCTATGGATTCAAAAAGCAATGGAAAGCATGCTTAACTTAATGCTAATAATAGCATTAGAGAGGCACGACACAGCATGTGATCTTCTTCACAAGTACATAACATTCTAGACCTGCGGCGCAATAGCTGAGGTGTTTCCCACCTCTGGCTAACGTGTATAATGAATGATGAACACTATAGACCTCATATGCACTTCCGGTCCAATAGTTGCCGTTATCGGTATGCTAGACTCCCTTCAAAAAATGAACAGTTCGCATACATATAGATCCCCGTCGAAACACTTGTGCAGTTTTGGTAGAGTAAAGTGGAGAAACTTTGATGCTTTGGTGCATACTTCGGATTGGAAAACCTACTCTTATCATCTAGCCACAAAAGTGTCCTTCCAATAATTTTACGAGAATACGAATCAACGCATTGAAGCGCTGTCATTTGTCCTAATACTAAAAACAAGTTGCATCGCCAAAAAACAACAACACGAATGCAGAGATGCTTTGTAAAGATCAAAGATTTTACAATGCCATTTAGGATCCACAAACTTTTAATAAGGAATGAAAATGGAAAATCCCTCATCGCCATTCTTAAGAATTTGATATGTTGTATAGTACCAATTAATTGCTGAAGATAACCCGACCGCCACAAAAGCTAAGGCGCACACAACAAAGCCAGCCGTTACATCTTATCACATCTGAGGGTGTTCTTAACGATACCTTTGCAATTGTAGCTAAAGCGTTCAACTCATACTTTGTCGATGCATTTATCACTGTGAAAGAAAAGCAGTGGGATTAACATCTCACTCAGTACTATGGGGCATCTATCCAACATGGGTTTTAGCGCTAGATTAATGTATTTCATTTCATCCGAGTCCAGATGAAATACCTTCAGTTCTGATAAAGTACGGCAGTGACGATGTCTTCTACTTGATACCAAACCTATGTACTATAGAAATGGTAGCTGGGCTTTATCCAGATCACTAGAAACTGATGACATTGATACCGCCTCATAAAACCAGTTCTAAAGATGACTTTAGGAGTCATCAATCAATAAACTCCACTATCTTAAGTGCCAGATTTATGGAACATCATAAAAAATGAAAATGCTAAATTCGTAGCATCAAGTAAACCTTTAACACTGGCACTGTACATATTTCCTCATGCGCTTAAGTGCCACTTATCAGCTAAATATTTTTGATCACTTGACGGAATTAAAGATTCTGGTAAGGCCTGTCTGTACCTCCCTAAGACCTTCAAAAGACGCTCGCCAAAGTTTCACGTAAAATCTTACGCATACACTTCGCAACAATGGCATCGCAGCCTCGCAACTGTCTCGGATAGAAGCGCACCTTCCTGGTCGGAAGTAGATAGTAAAGTACCAGTCAAAGACAAGAGATATAACTAGTAGCGTACCATAAGGCAGTGCACTCGGCCCTCTACTCTTCCTGATATATGTGAAAAAACGCTGTAATCGAAAAACGGAGGCCCTAACGTGTTTGCCGATGACATAAAAATAGTGTATGGCACTGAACACCAAAATTAGTCTCTTATTTCTGAAATCCAAAGTAACCTAAATTTTCTGGAAGTGTGGTGTGTCAGACCTTCCGTGAAGGGAAGCACTAACCGAGCTTAAGTACCAGTTAAGAGCCTTCATTTCTCTTGGCATAGGCATCAGTTAGCCCCCTCCTCTTCTTCCGACCAGACCGCAGTCGCGTAAACAAAGCACGTCACGTGAGTCGGGGTGCTGGCATAGAAAATGGCAAAAGGTTTAAGCAATACGCCGGTACGCAGTACTGACGCTTCGCTGCCACGCAACCACCACCGGTTGCAGGTGGGCTATGGATACTGCGAGGGTCGTCCTGCCTTTACGCAGGCTCGAACCCGCACCGCAAAATTACGAGACAACCTCGTTACCTAGGCTACGGAGCCTGGTGCGTGAAACAATTGGGCTGAGCGGATTGCTTGCTCTTCAAGTACGAGGAATGAGGCGCCGAAAATGCTCACCGCTCACGCAGTGATTCCATCAAACCTAAGCTTGACTGCGAAGACGCCGGTGGTCGAATGCAACTAGACCCTTGTGTCTTTAATAGGACAGGTTTCCCAACCGTAAAGCAGGGTCAAACGAAAGGGTGCATCGTGGTCTTCACACTTGAGAGCAAGAGTGATGTCGAGCCAATGGTTCAAACGATATGCTAAGTCACTACTAGAACACTGTGCCATCACATACAGTAGCGTTAGAAAATGAGACACGCGTGTAATCGAGACAACACAGATGTCCTTCGCGAAAAGATCTGTGAACCGTTCCACAAACATTTCTTATACATGTCAAAAGGCTGGCTTGCCGAACAACCTCCTCGTGGTGCCAGCTGGGTGGTGCGGGATTTTCCCGTTCCAGCAAATGGTTCGGCGGCAGTGTTCCAGGACGTGGTGGGTTTTCGCCTGGCAAGCGTTCTCCCTATAAAAAGCCACATATGTCCGTTTAACAACACTGTGACGTGGCGGACGTGACTCGCCACTAAATAAAGTCACTGCCCCTTGCTTCATCCTGGCGAAGCATTGTATTCCAGCAACGTCATGCTGTACTTCTGGGGAGCATTGGGCCCCTGTTTGACAAAGGAACAAACGAAAGGCGTATGAACTGAGCAATCAGTCACCGGCTCCCAATGGGCGCGATTCCCTGAATTCGCTCCGCTGCCTTGCGGACAGGCTATTCAGCCAAAGGCTCGGGGTGGTGTCCCCTAAGTCAACATCCTACTTCGGCTTGGGCAACCGGGTAGTATCTCGCCCTCTGAGGAAACCATGGACATTGTTGTGTTGTGTTTTATTTTAATATTTCTGTACTTTCGTTTGAATCCCATGGTTTCTGATGGCATTATGTCTATTCGTAGACTTTTGCAAATATATATATATATACATGTCAAAAGATAAAATGGAAAGACAAAGATAAAAACTGCATCTGTGTTTTACAAAATTTGGACAACAAAATGAGAAGATGAATATTGGCAGATGCTAGCATTTCGTATTATCTCGTCAGTACCAATACAATAACAGGGAAATCCTTTTATATGTCTTACAGGACACAGGCAAACCAAACAACTTTGTGGTTGTGGTCAATGTTGTTAGATTAGGTCTACGGCAACCGCAAGTTGATAACTAATTGCTTTTGGACACACAAAGCTGTTCTAATTCGGCTTATCGCGACGGCCTCGGCAAATGGTAAAAGGCGTGCATTAGTATGACGTAACAAGATCCGGAAAGCTGAAAAGGGGTTAACTTGGTGACGAGTCGCCAAGATGTGCCTGACTATGGAGGACGCTGGCGGCTTACGCGAACATGTATCATCGGAGGTGGATTGGGTAACTTCGCGCTGAACCCAGTTTGGTAAGTGTTCCTTCACTCGGGAATCTAAAACCCGTTCGGTCCTGCCGATGTAACTGATACCGCAGTCACACACGAATTGGTAGACACAATGTGATTTGGCGCCGACGGGTTCATCTTCCTTTACTGAAGGTGACGGCAACTTTGGGGTTCTGATGATAATTACCGCCTCCTAAGCACAGTATGTACGTTGAATGGCTGAGACAATGCGTTTGGTTATCCTTTTTGCTGCAGTGTCACCCTTGAATGGTAGCTCAATGTACATCTTCTTCTTAGGGGCTGTCAACACCATCTCCTTGGGCGGTCTAACTTGGCTATGTTTGTCTATGAATCGCTTTGGGTAGCCATTCTCCATAAGTGTCTTAGTGATCAGCTCAAACTCTTCAGGCAGGTAGTCGTTGGAGTAGATACGTCTGGCTCGAGTGAATAACGTTTTCACCAGCGCGCGCTTGTGCGCAATCGGTGAGAAGCTAGTGAAATGCAGATATTGGCCAGACCACGTTGACTTCCGGTATACAGATCGCTTAATCAGCCCATTAGCCCTGCAACTCATGAGTATTTCGAGGTACGGAAGACGCCCACTCGATTCGAATTCAAAAGTCACATTCAGGTTGGCGTGAACATTATTAAGTTGGTCTACTAATTGTTCGATTTGCATCTTCGTGGAACCGAAAACAAGGATATCATCCACATATCGTTTGTAATACGGCAGCTGAGAAATCTGTCCACTTAGTTGCCTCTCAAGCATCCGCATGAAAAGATCAGCCAGTACCGGTCACAACGGACTATGCATAGCTACTCCGTCAATTTGGCGATATGTGTTGTGGTCGAATCGGAAAGCGACATTCTCCGTGCAAAGTAACAAGGACTGTCTCAGGAGATCTGTCGGTATTGGTAGACGGAAATTCTCCTCTTCTATCAGGTGGCAAATGTAATCAATTGTCTCAAGCAAGGGGACATTAGTAAATAACGATTGGACGTCCACTGAGCACATAATCTTGTCGGCTATGTTGATTTGGTCTAGGTCTTCGATTATTTCAAAAGAGTCCTTAATGCTGTGCAAATTGTAGTGCTGCCTCAGTGGTGTAAGGATCCGAAATAACCAGCGAGCCAATTTGTGCTGCGGGGAATTTACCATGGACAAAATGGGTCTTAGTGGTCTTAGTGTGACTGCGGTAGCAGTTACATCGGCAAGACCGAACGGGTTTTAGATTCCCGAGTGAAGGAACACTTACCAAACTGGGTTCATCGCGAAGTTACCCAATCCACCTCCGATGATACGTGTTCGCGTAAGCCGCCAGCGTCCTCCATAGGCAGGCACATCTTAAAGACTCGTCACCGGGTTAACCCCTTATCAGCTTTCCGGATCTTGTTACGTCGTACTAATGCACGCCTTTTACGATTTGCCGAGGCC